CGTGTCAGACACCCAATCACCGGTAAGCCTATTGAACTTCCACTTTGAAATACTGGTCACGTAAGTAGGAAGTTTGAAGATGAGCCCTAGCCCGGCCATCATTGGCTGAACCTGCTCACCCACCAATTCGAAGTGAGCTAAGCTTGTAAAGCTTTGAAGTGATTCTGCAGTGTCGCCATCACCAAATTCAGCCACGCCCACTAAGGCTCTTTTGCGCTGTCCCCTGGCAAAACTGTTTTTTTACAGGTAGCTGATTCACCTCACCCATCCGTATCCCACATGTCTTCCGAAGTGTTCGTCACGTCTCCTGCTCAATTACCTCAACCGCTGCCAAAACCAGCTCGTAACCAAGTAGCACCACTAAACGGTAAGAGGTGGTTCAAACTTTCCCAGGAAAAGCAACAAAAACCCCTCAGATTTCAGGTGACTTACAACCCATGCCTGCTCCTCGGAATCTTGACATCTTTACCGTAGAAGGATCGAAAGGAATGTATACAGTAGCTCCAGAAGCTGCCGGTATCTTTTCTCCCCAGTCACCTCTCTATTCATTACATCACTACAGTACACTACTGACTTTAGGTATAGAGAAGCATCTGAGAAGGATGCGAAGAATTCAGGAAGGTCTGCGGAGGAGAAATGAAGAAATGAAGCTCAACCGAAAGGAGGAAGTTGAGCTTGAAGTACTGTGATCATAATATCTATTTGTAAAATAATTCCATATCTCTGTCATGCAATTATACGGGTATTTTTCTTTTTGCCAATGAATAAATTACCAATAAATGAATTCAATTTCAGATTGATGTATATCTAAAAACCATTGGAAAACAACAAATTTATCAATAACAACCAACAACAGACTCAATCGAAAAGGCCGAATCCCATGTCGTCGTCGGACTCCTCCTTGGGCTCTTCCTTCTTCTTTGTCTCGGCTGCTGGAGCAGCTGCAGCAGGGGCAGCGGCAGCTGGAGCGCCTCCGGCGGGTGCTGCAGCTCCACCTCCAGCACCGACTCCAGAAGACACCGACGTGATGAGGTTCTGGAAAGAAAGCAACTTTTGAGGGTTTCCAGCTACCACAAGGAATGTGTTAGCAATGTCTCGAATCCAGAGGATGATACCGTTCGATAAGAAA